CACCCATACAGCAATCACCCAACAGACCACTCAAGCTCCTACAGGCAAAACCCTCCCCACTGCTTACAGCAGGTTGGTTCCTGAGCCGCACCAGCTCCCTATTTCATACTTTTTGTTGTTGTTGTTAACTCCCCTGTAGCTCTAGCTTGTGGCAAATCACACTTCACAAAGATGCACGCCAGGAGACTGTAACTGCTTGCCTAAAGAGGTGAAACAAACAGTGGGCATTTGCCAAAGTACTCCCACCACTTGGAGCAGTTCATTTTTCAGGACATTCAGTGCTAGGCTGGTAGGCTGAATGGGAAAGAGAAGGAATGGGAGAGTAAAACCTTTCCTGTAAGCATTTCCGAAATGTTTATCACAGTAGCACTGAGACATTCCTAACCCTTTCATTTCTCTCCGAAAGGAAGGGGAGAAAGGTGACATCTTTCCTTAAAAACCCAAATGAACAAAGTGGGAAGTTCGAACAAACCTGGAAAATAAAGAGCTGCTTCGTCAGCCACCACCGATTTCCGCATGAATTCTTGAGTGAAAACTGGGAAAAGCCTCTGACAACAAATACTAGATGAAAAATTGTCAAAGTATTTAAAAACATTATGATTGTAAGCAAAAGATAAAATTATGAATGTAAAAATCATGACTGCAAATACTGAGGGGCTGTAGGAGGTGAAGTACAAATAATATAGTTAGTGTTAAATTCTGAATAGGCAAAGCACAACATTCACCAACAGCATACTAAAGGAATCTTACAAAGCTTTATTAAATAATACAGATACAAATGATTATTATTTACATCCAAATTGTCAATTGGAAGTAGTAGTAGCATGTAAGGCACAGCTTCTCCAAAATTAGCCAATAAGTTACACAAGACTGAATATATTAACACGTAACAATGCTGCTTTGTTGTAATACTGCATGAAACCAAAACTATATGCCATAAACTGTGTCTGCATTCCATTCCTCTGACTATTTGCTCAAATAGTTCTACACACAATATATTTTGCATGAAATATTTTGTTCTTTGAAACAGAACAATTGCGGTCACTATCATTATGGTCCTTAGGAGAATTCAGCCAGACAGAATATTATTCACAATTAAAACTGTGATAATTGTTATATGTAAACAAAGCCCTTATCTGATAGCTGCAAAATATTGCTTATGGATTAACAGTTACTGCGATTCTGATTATAATCCTCAAAATAAAGGATTCCAGCTGAGATACCTTTTTTTTGTATTCTCAGAGAAGTATTTTACGACTAAGAATTGGAACCAAGTTTTTTTTCTCATCTGTTTAAAATTAATTTGGGAAAAAGTTCATGTCAGCGTACCTCACTGCCATCTTGTTTAGAAAGCAAAATTCATCTGAGCACACAGTGATCAACTGCCTGGTTAAGCAGGACTTTCTGCTGTACCCAGAATTGTGCATTTTACATCTTTGTGTCTTAGCCAGTCAAGAGAAAGGAAAAAAGTCAACCAAAAAAACCCCACATTTATACTGACCCAGTTAAATGTTCCGTTGCATTTTACAGACTTACAAATGAGCACTTACTAGGAGGATATTATGGTACAAATATTCCAAAGTCTGGTCATACCAGTAATAATCTTACTGTATAGTTTAAACCAGGATTCTGGGTGTGGCTGTGTCAGTTTGTACATGAATATGCCAGTGACAAGCAGATTGAACCAACTGAGAAGGTCCCTAATTTTAAGTGTGAAATAAGCCACTTAACTTTGCAGTGCACTAGGGTGGTAATGAAAGGAGGCTCAGTTTCTCTTGAGGTACTTCTATGTGTGAAATGACCTATATAGATGTATTATATTTATAACAGAACACAGGTAAGATAATTGCCTTCAATTAAAAACATTTACTACCAGAAGAAAGGTCCTCTTAGAAGGCACATGCTTTCACATTCCCAGTCCAAAAAAAGTGCTTATAGTAACAAGAAAGGAATACTGCAGTTGTACCCAAAAGGAAGCCACACTAAGATAGTTATGTTTTTCCTTGTTGTTGTAAAAAAACCCCTCCAAATTATTCACAGTTGTTCCAGCATTCCTAATGTTAAAACAGCAAGTTATGGTGATGAATCACATTGTAAGGCTAAATGTAAAACCACTTATCAGTGCAGTACATTCCTGAGTCTTTGGAACTCAAAATAAAAAACTAGTTCTTTGAAATATACAAACCTTCTTATTTTTGGCTCATATTTGACCTGCTTTTCTATTTCCCTTTTTTAAAAAGTTCATTAAAAAGAAAGTTAATTTTTTTACAAAAAAGTAAATAAAAAACTTTTATCACTATCACTTAGACATAACTTCTAGTTGCTTGAAGAGTGCAAGAAAGCTAGCTTAGCATAAACACTGCTTTTTGTCCAGTCATCCTTGTCCAGTGAGCATAAAACAACAGATAAAATAAGGTTTAGAGAACCGAAGCACTGACAAAAATAAAAAATTCAGAGCTCTACATACTTAAAACAAAAAAAAAAAAAAAAAAATGAAGCTAGTTACATTCAAGAGATGACTTGAATTATATCAAAACTGAAAGTTCTTAGATTTGCTATCATTTAAGGCACAGTTTTGTTGCGGGTTTTTTGGTTTTGTTTTTGCTTTTTTAAAATTTGCCAGCCCTAGTGCATGATGATGAGTCGTGCTGTCTCTAACGTGAACCATAATCAGTGCTCCAGAGCGAGGATGATGGGCTTGTTTTCCTGCTTGAGAAAGACTGAGAACTGAAGGAAAGCACAGGTGATACAGAGAAACCTAAAACACAGGGGAAAAGGAGAAAAAAACAAAACAACCCAGTCATACTCAGGAACGGTGGAAGCAGCAAGAAACAAATAGCTGCTGTTGATCATCTGCTGCAACACCTGGCAACTGACTCTAATGATCCATTCAAAGCGAAATAACGCCTTTAGCTTATTGCTTGGTGAAAAGACATCTTAAAAGTATCAAAATTTTGTAGGTCTTCCTATTAGAGATTTTAATTAAAGAATTGATTAAGTCTTCTGAAGGGGAAACAACCTCAGCAAATAACTTTCAGTTGAATTTGCCTTATTTTATCTGAAGCGTCATGCATGTGTTTTTACAAACAGGACTGCAGCTCACCATAACACCTATAATAATCTGAATTTTGTTTTAATTGATTACAGACTTTCCAAGTGAATGGGTATTTTTTGCATATTTCTGAGGGTTTGATTCTGCAACAGTGCAAATAGGTAAAATAAGGAATAAATATGATGTAAAAATAGATAAAACATGACTGCAAGATCACTGCAGTGAAGGAACAAACTACTCCCCGAGCAACCAACTGAGTCTTCCACAGAGAGCTGTGCCCCTTGTCCCCTAAGGGTTGCCCTTCCCTGTCTCTTACAACAGCCCCAGCTCACAGCATGAGAGCTGCAGCACACGCTGGGGCTCATCTGATGTCCGTGAACTGACTAATCAGCCAGCTGCTGCCCAGCACATCCTGTCAGCAGCTGAACTCCACTTTCCTTTCCCTCAGCAGGAGCAAAATTCTGAATCTCTCTCCTCTACCCATCTCCTACTCTTATACTTTTCACCCACTCTCTATTTCCCATGTGGCTGAACCTGGCCAAGAGTTTCAGAACAATTAGCAACAGGTAAAGGGGAGGTTGAGGGTGGGGCAGGAGGATGGGTAACAACCTTCCTAGGAACTGGCACAGCACTTGTTAGGATATAATTCAGTGTACAGTCATACCTCCCTGCATTCAACTCAAACCCAATAGCTGTTTTTCAAACTGGGAACCAGTTTTCAAAACTTCAACAAGTGGGGTGGGTCCTCCAGGGATCAATATTGGGCCCAACGCTGTTTAGTATCTTCGTAAGTGATCTGGATGATGGGATCAAGTGTACTCTGAAGTAGTTTGCTGATGATACCAAACTGAGTGGGAAGGGAGAGCCACCCTGCAGGAAGACCTGGACAGGCTGGAAGAGTGGGCCAACAAGAACCTTATCAAGTTCAACAAGGACAAGTGTAAGGTCTTGCAACCGGGGAAACGTAATTCAGGAGGGCAGCGTAGGCTGGGATCCACCTGGATGGGGAGCAGCTCTGTGGAAAGGGACCTGGGGGTCCTGGTGGACAAGCAGCTTAATATGAGTGAACAATGCGCTGCTGTGGCAAAGAAAGCCAACAGGACACTGGGCTGCATTAACAAAGGCATCACCTGAGAGATAAAGAAGTCATTATCCCACTTGGTGCTTGTGAGGCCACACCTGGAATACTGTGTTCAGTTTTGGTCCTCACTATGCAAAAAAAAGATGTGGACAGGCTGGAGAGGGTCCAGAGAAGGGCCACAAAGATAATCAAAGGACTGGAAAGCCTGCCATAGGAGGAAAGGCTGAGAGAACTGGGTTTGTTCAGCCTTGGGAAAAGAAGGCTTAAGCAAGAGCTCCTCACCATGTTCCAGTACTTAAAGGGTGGATACAAAGAAGATGGAAACTCCCTTTTTACAAGGAGTCACATGGAAAGACAAGGGGGAATGGATACAAGTGACTCCTGGGGAGACTCCAATTGGACACAAGAGGAAATTTTTTCACACTGAGAGCAATCAGCCACTGGAATAATCTCCTCGGGGAAGTGGTGGGATCCCCAACATCGGACACTTAAGATTCAGTTGGACATAGTGTTGGGCCATCTTGTCTAGATGGTGCTTTTGCCAAGAAAGGTTGGACCAGATGATCCTTGAGGTCCCTTCCAACCTGATATTCTATGACTTATCAATTAATGCATTGATAATTGGGTAACAGGTGCTTACTGTTATGGCTGTGTTGAGGAGTTGTCCTTGGGGTAAACACTAGATCACTGCGCTGTTCTTTTGATGAGAAAGCTGCATGATAGGCTGCAAGACATTATGAAAAAAAACAAGCCAATAACAACAATAATAAAAACAATTTTCCATGGAAATTATTCTTTTATATCTTACAGCTAATTCATTGTAAGAAGTTATGTAAAAAATACTTCTGCAATCTTTCATTCTCTTACCTATAATCATAACAGCTGTCCCTGCTAATAGTGCAAAAAGGGTGAAGAACATCACTTGGTAAGAATCAAGAAAGTGCTGGAATAAACTGGCTCCATCTGTAGAATCAATTAAGAGAAGACAATATTGAGTTAAAAGAGCATCTTCTCCAATCAGCTTTAAGAGTTAACAGTTCTTAACTCAAACTGAAATAGACAAAATAAGGTTTTTATTTCTAGCAAATAAGTATAATCACCTTAGATAATATGACTTTGATTCTAGTGACTATTTCTGATGCAGTCTTTAAAATCTGCCAATAACAGCTTAAGACATTGATATACAATGCCTTAAGTGTGTTTTTTACTTTCTCAGCCCCAAAATGCTGTTCTGTTTTCAAAGGTGTGCTTGAGAGTACACAAAAGCAGAGCAAAAAAAATTACTTTCTGACACTTTAGCACTGGGATATTTCTGCCAACTTCAACAGAGTGTTTTGGGCTGACCCAAAAGGAAAATATCTTCAGCTTCAGTCATAATGAGCAACTGTATTCAAGTCTTCTGGTCACAGTCAGCAGCTTACATGTCAACGATAATATTAGCTGCTAGCTCACATTTTAACACACCAAATTTTATAACCTCATGAACATTAATGGAAGTTAAAGGTTTATTCTGGCATACGTAGTCTAGAGATAAACTTACGTCTCACTGGTGCACTGGTTCTGTCAGTCAAGTAAATCACTGTCACTGGGATAGTGATAGACTGGTCAGTCATAGGACTAGAGACAGTTAGAGTGGTTGATAAGGATCCCTGGCTGGAAACTCTTCTATCAGTCAGACTAACAGTGTAGACTACATAACTAGGCAGCCCGTAGGATTTCTCTTTCTCAAATGCCTTCACGGTTGGTGAGCCACATTTCACCTGCCAAGAGAAAAAACCAACCTGAAACAGACTGTTTGAGAAAGCACAGCACATATCCACCTTCCAGGCCACATGTCAGAAATACGTTATTCCACAGAAACATAGAGCAGCTCACCTCACAGCGGGAGTCAGACTCGGTTGTAACTTTCCAGTGACATCTGCAGCACTTCTCCCCTCTCTATTGGTAAGGCTGCCCTGTTAACTGCTGTTTCTGTGGGTCTGGGCTAACCCCATACCAGCAAAAATCAAAGTATCGTGAACCATGGGCAGTGAAACAAGTAAGTGAACAAGAACCTGCACCTGCCACTAGAGATCAGACAGTCTTTCTGCTTCCCCACCTGTGAGCTGGTTAACACATCCTGGCTAGTGCACAGGTGAGCCTGACACATTTCTGCTACCCCAACACAAAAGTGAAAACTGAAGAGGAATGCATCCCAAGATGAGTACCTCCAAATCATCTCAGAACACTCTTGACATGGTAAAGGTTCCTTTGGTTAGGAAGTTGCATGTAAGAGTTCAAAATGCTTTCAGCTGAGCTGTGATGCTTTCCAGCAATACACTCACCTCCAGGGTATCAAGGATTTCAGTGGCACCAAATATTTTCACATCAGAGCTTGTGTAATGGTTGCTTAAAAGCATTTCCGTTTGGTCAGCATAAAACCCAGGACGGAATGGCACCTCAGCACCGATCTGCTCCCCGGAGAAGTGGCTGCCTTGGATTGAAGCTGTAACTCTGAGTGCAGTTTTACTCATGCTGAGATGCTTCAGCTGTTTGTCAGTGAGCCTGTGCATAGTGATGGAACAGGTGTAATGTCCTATAGAAACGAAAGCAGTTTGACTGTTAATTGCTGATTTTTATGGTTTTTTTCCCCCATCCAGAGTGAGATTTCTGTGGTATCTTTAGAGAGGAGCTAAAAAAGGCGGTAAAATTCAACAAACAGAAAGATCATGAGTGTGCAGGTGAATGGGACAGTGCATCTGCTGGTCCAAGCATCACAGCCCCAGTACTAAAGCAAGAGAAGGTGTTTCTTGTCCCAAACTAAACACCATGATAGAAATGATAAAATGGGAGTTTCCAGCCACATTTTAATATGCTAGTGAGACTCAATTCCACTTGGACTATAACATTTATGCTAATATTCATAGAAAGGCTTTACTGAAAATAAAATGTAACATCCTATTTCATATTCTCTTCATTTCACGTTAAAATTTTAGTCAGTTACCATCACCAATTCTGTGGAGACATGGTTTATTATTTCTAAAAGCTTCTTTAAAGGTTAGATATTCACCATGTTTCTAGTCTCTTACAGGACCTATTTGTCTATTATTAGTGATAAATATTGTAAGAAATTCCCCCACTATGAAAGATACAAAGCATAAGTAACAAGCAGAACTTGCTAGGTACGTATTTTCCCCTTATTTTTTTTCCCCTATCAAAGTTACAAAGGCAGCCACCATAGTATAATAGTAACTTCCACTGCACTTAAGTGTACAGTAAAGGCACTGATGTATGCCACGGAAACACCTGAAAGAGCCACTGGATGTTTACAGCTGCAGAAATACCCAATTTTGGAATATTTATCATCTGAGTGTTTATTTGTACCAGCTGAAGGAGGAAGTGGTTTTGCTTCCATAATTTAACCAATACAGGGCCTGATATTCTTTTCTCAATTGTTATACACAAGGCAATTATTTTTTGTACAGCTCAGCTGGAGTAAAAGATGGCAGCTGGGAGCTATAAAGTACGGTATCATGTCTCCATTCTGCAATACCATCACTTCTGTCTCAAGGTACCATTGCACTGTCTACACACCTACAAATACATGAGCAGTAACGTGCAAAATTAGGACCAAAATTTGTAGTAGAAAAAAATATATTGAAGTTTGTCCTCCCTCAAGTAGAATAACGCTTCTGAGTTTCTTCCTGACTTACTACTACACCTCTGAAAAACATATGAAATGGCTGCTACTGATTTCTGGCTTTCTCTGAAAACAACTCAATGTTTTTGTCACACACACTAAACCTTAGAGTTAAACAAGGAGAGTACACATCAACAACTCACTGGAGCCTAAGATCCTGCAGAGCAAAGCTCAGAGGCTTCAGAAGGAAATCTGCTGGATTAAGGGACATTTGGACTAAACCACAGCAAAATTCTGCATGTGTCTGCATGGAGCGTAGCATCTTTTCTCATCTTACCTGAAACTGCATCAAATCCAGGTTCTGCTATGAAAATATCATGTGCTGGGAAGTCAAATGCATCTTTGTTAAAACCTAGATGGCAATTGATAATGGACTGTGGTTGTAATTCAGCAATGGCTTCAATCTGAGCAGGCAAGCATTCCCCTAAGGGGAAGAAAAAAAATATTTAATATCTAATTAATTAATTAGAAAAGAAAATTCTACTAATTAATTTTTAATTAATTAAAAGCAAAACTATGGCTTGAAATATCAGGTTATTCTATCACCTTCTGAAATAGTTTCATAAGGTTATGATGATCTTAAAATAGCTAGAAATCAGAGACAGCTGTCCTACCTCAGGTCTAATCCCAAAAAGACAGCAAATGAAAATTTTATATGCTGTGGGTTTGGTTTTTTTTTTTTTTTGACAGGAATAATTTATTTACAGGAAAGAATGAACTGGAGAGAATTTTCAGATGTGTCTCTTAAATTACTTATATGATCCTAGGAGTCTCAATTTATTTTTTAGTATCTGACAAGGCGTTTTTTTGGTAAGCTGATAATTTACATAAGGCACAATAAAATACTATTTGAACAAGTGCTAAGTGTTAAGCTAAAACCTAAAAGGACGCATAATCAAACAAAATACAGCTTATGAAATAGAGGACACAATATGATGCTTAATCTTGTATTGATTCTAATTGCTGATAAATTCTGTAGAAGATTTAAGAATAGTAACTACTTTAAACACACTCAGAAAGAAAACATAGTAACTTCAAGAAGGCAATTGGAATTTAACATATAAACAATCAATCAGATGATTGCCTATTGAATGTTTTTTGATATAATAAAAAAATAACACTTCTATTATCTACTGATTTTACTAGTTGTGAAGTCTTAATAGTGCCCCAGAATACTCTCCAAATTCTGTAACATGGCCCTAAGATTCTCCTGGAGCTCCTGGGCTTCCGGAAAGTCACCAAGTGGGTCATAGAGATCTTGCTAAACCAGCTTCACAGACCCTTGTAAACAAAAAACCAAAACACAAACCAAACCCATCTATCATGAATATATAAACATTCAATAAACAATTAGCATAAAGATTGTTTTTTCATCATACCTTTCAAATTTTTATTTCTTTCCCCAATTGAAACTATCACTTTTGAGGCTGCAACTCCTTGTAAGCTTGTTTTCACTCCACTGACATGCGTTGCTGTAGTCCTCTGAGGTATATTAATCAATATCTGCAAAAAGGATGAAGTACATTGTTACCAAAACCCGTATCAATAAATAAAAATTAAGGCAAACCCAGACTGGATTGATTGTGGAACACACACATCCTTGTAGGCATTACAGAAGAGAAGACTCCAAGCAGTCATGTTTTTTTTAATAAGAAATCCTACATTTCTCTAATTTTAGAAACTGCCTTTCAAGGCAATTTAAGCTACTAAAAACGTTTTTTGCTTTCTACCCAACCCCCATAAGTTAATAGGCATAAATAAAGCTCTGTGTCTAAATTTAATTTAAAAATATCTCATGCTTATGTTAGCTGATACAGTGAATTGTGTCAACAGTACGATTGCACTGTAGATAAACAAAACTATTTCATTGAGTAATGCTGATCAGCGATGCTCGGTACTATGGTACAACACTTTAGAAAGTTCTTGTTGTCATCTCATCCTGCAGTCAAACTTCATTCATAAAGCAGCCATACTCAAAAATTGTTTAGCATCTGGAAACAACTTACCCAAGCACATGAATAAAAATGTACAATATAAGAACAGTATAGGCTAAAATCACAAACTGTCATGATACATCTTCCTCCCTAACACAGATGATTAAAAAAAGCCATGACATGTTTGGACACATATCAAATTCTTTCCAACCATTTGCAATTTCTAATACTTTTTCCTTTAAAAATAACATTTCTAAATATTTGTAACAAAAAATAATCATAGGATACATTTTTGGTAAGGGTCCACCTGGAACAAACAAACGTCGGCAGTTCTGGTGGGATTTATCAGCGCCTCACCTCTCTGTATGTTTTAAGTAATCCAGGAATCTCGTAATAGACAGTGACAACACCAGAATCCCTTGCCACTGCTACGCCAGTCTTGGAGTCGACTTGAAGAACACTACTTAAGGAGGAGCTCCACACGCCCGGCAGGCCTGAGAAGACACACCATGTGGACACTGTTCAAGAAATTCATGCTAACTGGAGCGTTTCATTGCCGCGTTAGTGTCTGTCTGTATGTACCCGCTGCACAGGCAGCATGGGTACACACACTTCCCAGTTCACAGAACCTCGATTCCAGGGTCTCGTGGTGGAAGGCTGGCAGCCCAACACCAAACTGACTTGCAAGCCCGTTAATACTAAGAATAAAATACCGTAAGTGAAGCTAGACAGTCCTGACTCTGCACGGTTCCCATAAAAAACAAGCTTTTCAAGCCAACAGGATGGAAAGGTCTGAAACCTGATACTAATAAATTCAATACAAGCAGCATATCGCATGGTACAATTAAAATTAGAGGAGTTGATCAAACCTATTTTTATCATTAACAAGAACAGTGACATTTGATTCCGAACAAACATCATAAATTATGCATTTAGTTTTCCTGAGAATGAGAAAGAGTCACACTGATGTCAAATTATATAGCTGCAAAAACCACAGTGCCTGAAGTGCTGCTTACCTTCCTGGTTTATCAGCAAAGTACTCAAACAGAGGACGTCACCTACCACCACATCTCCGAGTTCAGGAAAGATGGCATGCTGCACAGGAAGTGGGACGTAGTCTGCAATCCCACTGTGCTCTGCATCCCAGACTTTAAGCAAGGTCAAACCTACGTTTACAGTCCGGATTACAAATGTGTGGTTTGTGGCTCCTTTCCCAATCTGTACAAAGTCATCTCTACAGGCAAAAAGAAATGCTTTCATATTAACACAAGTTTACTAATGTCATTATCTCTACAGTAAATAGCAGGTTTTGAGCTCTTTTTAGATGGTTGATGTTTGTTTCAGTGATGGTTATCTTCTAATGAAGCCTGACAAAATAAGGCAAACATAAAAATGATATGGGTGCTACTGAGGCAAATTTCAGTTCCCACATCGTTACGCTGAGGTCATAATTAAGTATGAGAACTACTTCCTAATTTTAAGAACTGTAGAGCTTTAGAATGAGGTAATCTGCCTCTTTTCCCTTTTCTCAGAGTTAAGAAGCAAAAAAATTTAAACACCAACATGCAGTTTTCGAGCTAGAGCTTTACAAAGCTAAATCACATTTAACTCCAAGTTCTGATATTTATCAGAATTCAGCATTCCCAAATGCACTGACACAGCGAGTGCTTCCAAGTCCAGCCAGCACAGAGACTGCCACCACCCTGGCAGCACCACGCAAAAACAGGGAAGGTCTTGACAGCAGAACTGGGCCACCACAGTGCTGCACCTGAGGTCCAGTGCTTCTCTCTCCCAGGCTAATAATTAGCCCTTTGCTGAAGCAGCTCTGTCACACCGATTTTGGAAGCTAGGGCAGTGTTATCTCAGGGATCTCTCTATCCTATAGAAATTTCTGCAGATCATTTAGGTAGGAGAAAAGAGAAAATCTTGCATTCAACCCTTTTTTTTCCTCTCCCTTTTTAATCCTGATCACTGCATTGTAACTGCAAGGTGCTCTGCGGAAAACAGGCTACGTTACAGTCATGGGATTAGTGACTGTTTAATAATGACCAAAGAACGCTGGTTTATAATATTTACTATTTTCTGAAGCAGAGACTGAAAGGCCTTTTCAGATCTGGTTCTGCTGTGCAAAGGCTGTACAAGCATATCTGGAAAAGCAGCCCCTGATCCAGAACCTTCACCATCTTATACAAGACTTAAATGAGTCGGTGTAACAAAGCACTAGGAGAAAAGAGGCGAGATGAGGCAAATGCTAATTAGATCAATTGTTTATATAGGCCACTGATGGATGCGATCTGATGATTCAGAGTCACTTAGAGCAGAAACATTCCCCAGCAGGCCCCACTAGGGATCATGCTTATCTGGGCAACTTTCCCTTTGCTAGAAAATACTGATTGCTAACTGGAACTCTTTTTTCTGCTACGGTGCCTCTGAAGACCTCAGAGGCTACATCCTTTCTTTACTAATCCCAGTTCAAACTATATCTGCACTTGATATCTTTGCAACAATCTTTGTTTCGTGCTGTGGCTGAGCTACGTGTATTTGGCCTTTTTTGTTCTCTGTAATTAACACTCATGATAGATACCTACCTGTTCGTTGCATAGTTGAGCACAGAGTTATGTGAATGAAAAGTATCTCCAGAGTTATCATGAAAATGGACTGTAAATGTCAGTGTCGCACCCAGGGGAAGAGCCAATAAAGCCTCTTTTTTTTGTGTGTGCAGAATAGGACTCATGGAGATTCTTAGGTATGAGATGGGGCAGACCTGTAAAAACATCAGCAGTGAAAAGCAAAATCAAATTGTTTTTTTTAAAAACTCTATAAAAATAGTAATCTAAAAGGCTTCTTATTATGCAAATATACAAAGCTTCCTTTATGAACCACTTGCTATATCTTTAGCCATATGACAGTACTGAGATATAGCACTTTTATTATCAGTACATATCTCACAGAATCACAGAATAGCTGATGTTGAAAGGGGCCTCTGGAGATTGTCCACTCCAGATCCCCCTGCTCAAGCAGGGAGCAGGAGTCAGTTGCCCAGGATCTCATGCAGTCAGGTCTTAAGCATCTCCTAGAACGGACCCTGCACAATCTCTCTGAGCAATCTGTGCCAGTGTTCAACAGCCACCATGGTAAAAAAAGAAAGCTCTCCTATGTTCAGACAGGATTTTGTCTGTTTCAATTTGTGCATCTTTCCTCTCACCCCGTCATTGAGCACCTCTGAGAAGAGTTTGGCTCTGTCTTCTTCACACCCTCCCATCAGATATTTCTCAGTATTCTTCTCTAATAGCACTGGAAATTGAAGCAAGCAATAATGATGTAGAAATACACATCGCAGACTTCAGAAACTACATTATTATCCTATAAATTAAAACTGTTTAAGAATCCCTGGATATGCAAGAGAACAAGTTGCCTCTAGACATCTCTCCCAGTAATCCCTGAAATACAAAGTGTAATTCATTCCCCAGTTACTAGAACAGGAGTAACTTGTGATGTATGTGACAGTAAGGGGATGAAATGGTCACTGTTTCCCCAGTTCCCTTGCACCAGATGAGAACGCCAAGATAATACAGGGCAGTTTCCATCAGCCTTGGCTCTGTTTGAGCACAGGTTTGCCCAGCAGTGAAAACATGAGCAATAGCTGCAAAGCTGTTCCTAGTGATCCTTGTCAAACAACATCACAGACACTTCAAACTGCTGCCCCCCAAACAAGCCCGTGGTGGTCTGCCAGGGCTCCCAGAGGTGGGAAGGGACAACACCCACGATCCTGCCTCTGGAGTTGTGTGCTGGGGTGGTTTTTCTGACCCATCACTGAGCACACTTGCCTTGATACTGTTGGCAGTGGGATAACAGAATCCCACAGCTGCCTCAATTGAAAAAGCCCTTGAAGATCATCAAGTCTAACCATGAACCCATCACTGACAAGTCCCCTATGACTAACCCATGTCCCTCAGCACTGTGTCTACATGACTCTTCAATCCCTCCAGGGATGGGGACTCTGCTGCAGCCAGGCCACCCTCGGATAGAAGCAAAGTGCAACAGACAAAAGCAGTCAGAACTGGCACCTGACAAATCCTACCTGGTCAGCGGGCGGCATCGTGTGCCTCAACGCCTCTCCTCAATCAAGACAGAAGTTAGGGACTTCTGCTCTAAATTCTTTAGAAAAGTCTGCTAGATTATCCACATGTGCACACCCCCACATTTTGGCAGTAACACTCCAATGAAGTAAGTTTCTTTGAAGACAAAGACTTCACAACCATTTGTTTCGGTTTTTTAAAGAACATATTACTATTCTTGATTAACTTATCTAGGTTAACTGGAAAAGCTGCCCAACAAAAATAACTATATCTATTCTTTCTGTTACAGCTGTTGGAAAATAAATAATGGAAGGACAGAAAAAGCAAAAACCCTCAAATATATAGAAAAAACTATTTTAAAAGAAGCCCTCAAGCTTATCTTGTAGGAAAATCCCCTTTTTCTGACCTAAGAGGCTCAGCTAAAACGTAAAACTCTGCAATCTGAAAATGTACATGTCAAAACTTAAAAAGGAAAGGACAAATTTGGCCTCAAGCAAATAGCATCTTTGGTGAATTTGGAAAAAAAAAAAGTGGCTAGAATATTGGCACATACAACTGTCTGCTCCACAGGCTGATACAATCACCCAGAATATCAGTGCATGTAATCATCTGCCCAAGCAGCTGAGGTTGTAAGCTAACAAAAATGCCATTTCCCTGACAGATTTTCAAGCTTCCTTTACTTTAAAATCACAAAAACTGTACCACAAGGGACGACTGCTAAATTTAATATTGATGAAAACAGCTATTCACTGTTAAAGCACCTCAGTTTTTAAAGGATTTTTTATTAAAAACAAATACATTCCATTGAGTACAGCTGGTACAGGGAAGTGCTTAGCTTGCTTCCATGCTAAGCACACTGTCACTCCTTACTTCCACCATCCTCCTTGGCTTATATAAGATCATCTTTTTTTGAACAAAGTTGAAGGTCTAAGTGTTAAGTGATGCTGCTGCAGCAGTTTGGTTCTTAATTGTGTGCAGTTGTAAATAGACAAAAGAAGAACTTATGAAAGGAAGGACGGCGTGAAGGAGAGAACTCTGCCTTAGAATGACACAACAGATTCAAGCTCATCTCCTGCTCTGTCACAAGTTCTTCTATGTGACCTTCAGCAAAACCACTCCAACTCTCAGTTCTTCAGCCATAAAATGAAGGCAGCAGCACTGTATTACCTCACTGGTAAAGATATTATTTCCATAAAAGTAGTACAGTCCTAATAAGTAAAGGAAAACAAATCAGTTGTACAAGATGCTGAATTGAGATGGTTCCTACTACAAAGAGCTCACAAGCTTAATGTCACAGGGCACTGACTACACAGTTCTGTGATATCCTGCATACAGGAAGGATGAACAAAGGGGGAATTTCACTTCAATACCACTATATGCTGACTAAATGTCATTTGAGCCAACTCCAAACTCATCAGATGTCTTTCACTCGCTGGATCCAGCAGTGAAGGGAAGAAACAAGGTCATCTCTCACAGAGCTGTAGAAATTCACTGCCACCACCTAGCAGCAGGAGTGGCATTAATGAAACTAAGCCATCATTTCTTTTTTCATTCTCCACCCAAGAGGACAGATCTACATGCTATCCTACAGACAAACCTGAACATTATGGTAAAAAACAAAATTTAAAAAACATAAATAATCAAGCCACCTCAGAGTCATTAAATTATTTGTAAGTTGAATTATTATAAAGTCAGCAGTCAATTATATGTCTTTCTTCTTTAGCTGAGACACAGGAGAGATGCTGACAGAGTAAAAAGGGATAAGAGGAGGTGGAGCAGTGGGTATCTCAAGGCTCATTTTTCTGGATGTAGAAAGTTCTTGGCACAAGAACTTTTCAACAGAAATGAAGGACTTAATGTTCCCTTATGTCTGAAGTGGCCAACCAGTAAGATACATTAGACTTCACATAACAGCATTCAATGACCAGAAGAAGTTTTGAGAAAGAAAAATGTTTCATTAGCCTGGAAACGAGCTGCTGAGTTTTGCTACAGATTTGTCCTTCCCTGAAGTGTCCACGTTTCAGTGTAGCTCAGGCACACAGGGCAGCCTTGGACACGCTCCTTGCCAGCTCACCAAACACAGGCAGCAGCAGCTGAACTATTGCATCTGAGAAGACAGGCTCTCATGCAGAGATTCTCATCACATGTAAAAGCTGAACTGCTGGGAAACAGCAGCCAAAATTAAATTTTGGGGCACAGTACAATATTATCTCTAATATCTTGAAAATCTAGGTATCACTTAGGTACCTCACAATTTATATTAATTACTTCAGATGATATTTAGCTTTTCACACACAGCATGTGTGTATGACATTAACATCTTTTTTATTTGAAATTCTGTAATTATCAGCCTTCTAAGAGATTTGCTTGCTTGCTTTTTTTTTTTTTTTAAGTTTTTAAAGCACACACACACAAAGGCCTTTTTGTAAAAAGTACCAAATTTAAGAATTTGCTGGGATTTAATGTTTACCCATCTAGTTTATATACTAAATTTTTTTCAAAGCTCAGAATCGACTATTAATTGCTATACTTCCCATTTTTCAGAAGTGAAGTTCAAAATGTGCAGCTAACCATCCCTGTCGCAGTAGTAAAGATACACTTCTAACAGAAAACTGCAAAGAGAGATGATATTACCTTAACAGCAGCTACAATGGTCTGGTTGATCCCAAATGACTCTTGTGAAATCACTTCAATTGTTGATGATCCTATCAAGGACCCAGAGCTAAGGAAGCCTCTCTCATCGATTTTTACAACAGGAACTTTATCTGGTCCATCCAGGACACGGTAACTCAGTGAAGCCACTCGGTCCCTTAAGAAAACAAACGAAACAGAAAAACAAAATACCGGGAGACCTCCTTAAATGAGTAAGACCATATTTACACCAATATATTATGCAAATCTGAAAGACTGCTATTTGGTGTGTGTTTTTTCCACGTGTCTGTAATAAAAACTGAAAATCACAGAATCACAGAACGTTGGGGATTGGAAGGGGCCTCAAAAGATCATCCAGTCCAACCCCCCTGCCAGAGCAGGAACCTCAATGAGATCACACAGGAAGGTGTCCAGGCGGGTCTTGAATGTCTCCAGAGAAGGAGACTCCACACCCTCCCTGGGCAGCCTGTCCCAGGGCTCTGTCACCCTCACCGTAAAGAAGTTTCTTCTCAAGTTTAAGCAGAACCTCCTGTGTTCCAGCTCACACCCATTGCTCCTTGTCCTACCATTGGGCATCACTGAGAAGAGCCTGGCTCCATCCTCCTGACATTCGCCCTTAACCCATTTATAAACATTAATGAGGTCCCCCCTCAGTCTCCTCTTCTCCAAGCTAAAGAGCCCCAGCTCCCTCAGCCTTTCCTCATCAGGGAGATGCTCCACTCCCTTCATCATCTTGGTGGCTCTACGCTGGACTCTCTCAAGCAGTTCCCTGTCCTTCCTGAACTGTGTCTAGTCTAAGAAAAAAAAAAAAAAAGTTTAAGTTCTGATTCAAGCTCGCTTGGAAGAGGCCTTATCCAGGTTTAGGCATGTATTGAAATAATTTCCATCCACTGCCCTGCAGTGTCGTCATTCACTGATGTAAATTTGATTCCAAATAATAATGGTTCAGCTACAACATGCAGCTTCTGCCATCATTTTCTGTAAACAGTGTTTAGAGGGAGATTAGTCTGCCAGGGCCAATGCTGGTATTAGAGATAAAGTCTGAGACGCGATTAAGTGGATTTCATCAGTTTCCTGGAAATGGTTTTGTAGACAAGGTTAATTTTTGGAATAACTCTCACCATGGTATTTGCATATTAATAAAGTGAGTAAATACATAAACTGTAATTAGTGGGTGTTCTAAGACATTAGCTACTTTTAAGTATCACTTAGCACATCTTCTAAAAGATCTGTACATGTATGGGTTTTTTTTCCTCCCGAGCCCCTCCATTGAGGTAGAAATACTTTATCCTAGGAAAAAAGCACTGAAGCTGGATTATAGCTGCCCTTTTCTTGGCAATAGTGTAACTGCTTTTGGTGACAGAGTTCAGACATAGGGGCTCCAACACTGGGTAGTGAAGATAACAGGACAAAGAAACATACAAACTGGTATCTAGCAACTTAATGACCAATTAATCAGAAAAACTGCTCCGAATATATAACAAAACAACATTAGAAACTCACTACAAATGACAGGGCTCCTATACAACTGTTTCAAAAGCAGAGGCTGAATGTCATGGTCACTGGAGCTCCAGTGAAACTAACAGTTCCCTTCCCTTAAAAAGTAAATTAATCTAAAGCCTTGCCCTCAGCATATGTCCTATTGTCTATATGCTGCACATTCCTATGCTAGGAAAACCAAATTTCAAGCCTGAAATGAGTCTGAAATGTCAGTCTTTGAAAAAAGATTATGTAAAAAGGACTTCTCATTTGCAAGGGACATTTTAATCTCAAAATCTAGTCATAGCTTCTGTGTAAGAAATACAGAGAAGTCCATTCCATAAAGCCTTGACTGTCCATAAAAAACTCCAGTGGAAGCAGGCTACTGCTTTAAGTGGCTCATCATCTTTTAAAATAAGTACCTAAAAGTTCTAAATATTGAATTAATTTTCTAGCTGCAATCTAACTAATATGAGATTTGACAGAGCCCAAGACTACAGATAAGATACTATTAATCACCAGATAAGTTATGTATTGTATGGATGGACTGTGATATTCTTTTTAAAAGACTGAAACATCTTCCTTGTAACAGAATTGCTTTATGGTGTTGATAAACCGCTGACACAGATCACAGTATGAAAACTGATCACTAACCTGTCTGTCTGAAGTTTAATACAGGAATTTGGTGACATTAAGATCTGCTCTGCTTCTACTTCTGGAGTGACTAGATGAAGTTTTTCAAACACCTGGAAAATAAAAGGTATTTTAGCCTACTGTTGTGTGCAGCAAGTAGTTTATTTATTTCACACAGAATCACAGAATGTTGGGGA